AAGTGTGGTTATCCAGCCACACCCACCTTTTGCTTCTTATTCTGTTTACCTTGTTTGTTGTCAAAACCCAGGGCTTTTTTGTAGCAGGGACTCCTTTGCATGTTAGGCCACACACCCCTAATGTAGCCAATCCTAATGAGTTTCTGCGGTTGGGTGTGGCCTATTATGCTAATGAGTTCCTGCTGGGCGTGGCCAACTTGGGAGCCAGCCGGAACTCCCTTCCTGTGCGTTCCTGCCCAAAAATAGCCCTGCCAGGCTCCACCCCCAAATCTCAAGAAATGTAGAAACCTGAGCTAGCAACCCTATGCCACCCAACCCCCGCCGGTAGCGTGGGGGGACCCGGCAGCCCTACGCTTGGCTCTAAACTCCTGTGTGAGTAGATCTCAATTTCAAGAGCTCAGTGTTTCCACAAATGAGAACCACAAGTAAAACCAAAACATTCCTTTCAATCTTTATGTAAAGACATAAATCCATAAATTTTTGATAAAGTATTATATGCATTTTTAATACTGCAACCTCCCTCCCCCTTCGACATCAGGAGGACTGTTTCCAGCATCTATAAAAGTTCCTTCGCTATCGAGGGCTTTCAGTTGCACGGGCTTTAAATGCATTCAAGCACACATAACACATATAATCCCAATCATACCTTCATGCACGTGACAAAAGAGAAAATAGATGAATATAAAAGTGACTGAAGGAAAAGGGAAAGGATAAGATAAGAGGAGGTGAAAACCAAAGACAAAGAGGAGGGGAGACAGTGAAACTCAGTGGTCTTCAATACTGCCCCCTCTAGATGAAGCATACTCTGTATTTCTTTACACTCCTGTCCCATTCTTTGTGCTGCACTTTCAGTCCCATACCTATGTTGGGTTTGATTTCTCTTTCTAATCATGCACAAAAGGCCTTCCAGTAACCAATGGTACTATTTTGATCCACAATGTGTGTTTAAGGATGCATCCTAAAACCAACACTTTGGAAAATCCATTTCCTGTAAAAGCCTAGTACCAAATTGATATGCTTATCAACTTCCTCCTAGAATTCAACAGATATTGGAACTCTTTGGATAGTTAGACAAGTGATTTTTTTAAAAACAGAAACGCTGGTCAATAAGGGTACCCATCTCAGTGGATGTTCTAAAAGCCTACAAGAGAAGTTATGAACTTATACCCTAAAAAAAACCCCTGGTAGTATACTGACTTTGGTCATGAACTTAAGGAGTTGTGAGATCTGGATCCGACTGCTGTACTGCATGTATTAAAAACTGCTGAGGGAAGCAGCTTACTTTGCTAATTAACACAAGATTTATCTGCATTTGAAACCCCCCGGAACAGATACAGTGAAAGGAAAATGAAATAAGAAACTGAAAAGAACTATCAGTCCCCAGAAGGGAAGGAGGATACAAGCTTAACCCCATAATGAAATACTTAAGACTGATGCAGCAATAGATTCTGCAGAGAAGATACTGGGCTCCTTCATAATGCTTTAATAAAGGGTGGATTACCATTGATGCTTGTTGGAGCTGTGGAGAACAGGAAGCCACTTTGGAACTAGCACATTCCTAAAAGAATGGTTATTCCAGTTTTATTTCCATGACAACACAGGGATGCTGGGACTCCTTCAGTCACCAGAACAATACACCAGCTCCCAACCAACGCAACTAACCAGGTTTTAAGGACGAAACAAACGAAGGACTTTTCCACATTCTCATTTTTCTCACTTGTAAGTTCCCATTTCTTGGGTGTGTGTGTGTGTTAATGTTCTACATGCAGTTTGCTCCCTCTACTGGCCATTTTGATATTATACTGGTTTATGTCCAGCACACACCTGCAGTTTAAATCTGCAGGGAGGTATGCTGGACATAAACCAGTGTAATTGAATGGACCACTAAAGGGAGCAAAATGCATGAGTAACAGGCCCCCACCCCTGAAAAAAACAGGAAGTGAGGAAAATGAGAATGTGGAGAAACCCTAAGATATGCACCTGAGCTTGCTGTTCACACTCACTCAAAGGAAGGCCCTTAGTGCAATGTCTTTCTCTAAGTTAGAAAGGCAGACTGTAAATACAGAAAGTAAATAAAGAAAAATAAGGTTAGGGTAGATAACAAATAGATGGAACACTGCGTTAGCAGAAATTGTTAAACCAGCCAAATATGTTCCTGGCCGAGACAGAACTTCAAAGGCAACAAAGGAGTTAATTCACGAGACAGGGAAAGAAATTAAAGGTACAACGTACGACTCCTAGAAATTAAAAGACTTGGCCTGGTTGAAAAGGGCTGCTTCTCTCACAACAGCCTCTTTCCAGACACAAGGCAAACACGAATTCAAAAGTGATATGCATATCTGGAAATAACGTATTTATGGATTTGAAAAAGCAGGTATTTGGATTATATTTGCCAAATCAATTACACATCTAGATAAAGGTGCAATATCTATGCAGACAAAATATGGGTTGGACTAAGAGGAAGAGAGAGGTTTCAGAACGATGCCCAGTGGTAAACCATGTGAACTGCAGATACATTTCCAGCCCAGCATATTTTCAGACAAGGTGCTAAGGATGCAGCTCTTTGGGCAAAAGCAAAAGATGCCAAAGTATGTTGCCTGGACACAACTTATAAATACAAGAGGAGAACGCAATGAAGTCCCTGATCAAGTGGTTCGGTGTCCACAATCACAGCTCCATCTCTTTTGCCTGCAGACATTAGGGCCCTTTTCACATTACTTTCTGTTGGTCTGGTTCCTAGTAAAGCAAAACAGGGATGCGGCTTTCACACAGCAAATTTCCTTCTATTAAGGAGCCGTCCCTGAAGGGAACTGGCCATTTCAAACAGTGCCACATTCTTTCCCCTCCCATTTTCACTCCGCTCAGCCATTTTTTGAAGCTTCTAATGTGAGCGCTGAAACACTAAACAAATATAGCAAGTCAGTGTAATAGCGGCACCATAGAGATGCCTTGACTCTCAGGCTTGTTTGCAATCCTCCCTCTCCAAGCCCCCTCTCCTGGCTATGTAAACGGATCTCTCTCTCCTCCTGTACTCACATTTTCAAATGGCAACAAAAGCAAAAGCCCTTTGCATGCCAACTGAATTATCAGGAAGCAAAAGGCTCCCTGCGTGTTCTGAAAAGGGGAGCCCCCCTCTCTCTCCCTCCACGCACGATTTCCAATTGGCAAGCCAGCTTTCTGCAGCTTCTAGGAAGTAGTACACGGCAGTCTGCCCTCCCTCTTCCTGATTGTAGCTCTGCGATGCAAATAATTTATTTATTCTGTCCTTTCCATGTTGCCGAGATGTTCTTTCAGATAATCTAGATGCTGTATGTAGCTGAGCTGCAATCGGGGGCTTGGGGAGGAAGGATTGCAAACAAGCCTGAGAGTCAAGGCATCTCTATGGTGCTGCTATTACATTGATTTGCTATATTTGTTTAGTGTTTCAGCACTCACATTAGAACCTTTAAAAAATGGCAGAGGAAGATCGACCACAAGTAGGGTGAAAAGGGGAGGGGAAAGAAAGTGGCGTTGCAGGAAGCACTATGGGGCTTTTCACAGAGCTCCCACCAGTGATTCGGATGTGGAAGGAGGGTTTGAAAATGGAAGAAAGGCCGTTTTCGTCAACAACGGCTCAAGCACGCTTCCTGAATGGGGAACAACTGGGATTGTATGAAAAGGTCAATTAAGTCTGTTAGCAGCTGGTTACTGAAACGGGTCTGTCTGAAAGGACAGAAAAAAATCGGTTAGTAACCAGTTCCTGAAATGGACTAGAGAGGCTGTCTGAAAAGGACCATAGATTCTGAGCATTCAAAAAAATCAAACACACTCACCTTTTGAAGTGGCTTGCCAGAACTCCGACCAGCTCCCCAATCCTGCTCTCATTGACCGGATGCGTGCTGAGAAGGCAGACAACGAGGTCTTTGCTGTCTTTGGTATGGAAGACTACAAGTTGATCTTTTCCGTTGGAGACACTCAATCCCGTCAGCTGCACAAAGTGAGAGGTATTATGTTAAGGCTCACACAGTTGCTATGTCAAATTCATGGTGCTGGTATTCACCTTTAGAGCCATAACGGTCTTGAACTGTCTTATCTAAAGGACTGCCACTGTGAACCCCCACGGTGTCTTCATTCAGCCGCACGTGGCCTTTTTGTGGTCCCTGGCTCTCAGTTTGCCCATCTGAGTGCAACAAGGGTGAGGGACTTTTCCATCGTGGCTCCAACCTGGTGAAATGCTCTGTCTGAAGAGATTTGTGCCCTGCTAGACTTGTCTGTATTCCACAGGGATGCCAGAGTCCCGCAGCAATCAGTTCTCAACAACATTCCTTCAGAAGGTTCAAGTTTATTGAGTACAGTAAAGGCAGTTCATCTGTGCATACATTCTGTGTCAGAACTAACTGTAAGCGCATGAAATGAGAAGATATACACACTTCAAAACAGGGTCTCCTGATGGGTCTGAGCCAATCAGGGATTAAGCTGAAGCCAGCCTAAGCTAATGGGTCTACGTTCCCAGGGAAAGCATCCGCAGCATGGTACCCAGGTCACAGGCCTAGGCTAGCAGATAAGAGAAGCCGAGGAAAAACCAGCTGACAAGGACATGTAAGGCAGTGTTATTCCACCCAGCAGTCCATTAATGTAATTCTGGCAGACTCTACCAACAACACCGTGGATTTTTATGCCAAAAGCTGTGGGTTGAGTTTTAGCTGGATTTTATTGAAATTCTTGTTTCATTGTTATTGTGCTGTTCGTTTTTAGCAGCTCTGAGACCCATCCTGGGGGAGGGGTGGGATAAAAATCCAATTCATAAATAAACGGCTTAGTGGAAGTTTTGCGGACAGACACAGAGACGAACGAGAAATGCATTTACAGGCATTTCTGTAATGCAATGGCCTCTCTTTCCAGACTTAGGTGTGAAAAAAAAAATACACAAAAGCTCGTGACGTCCAAGAAGACACAGATACAGCGAAAGCCCATGAAAAGTACAAATGAAGAGCTTGCCTTCTGCCTGAAGTTATCTACTAGTCGAAGGACCTCTTGAAACTGTCGCTCGGGGGGGGGGGGAGGGGGGGGGGGGGGGGGGGGGGGGGGGGACCAAGACATTTGTTCTGTACTGTTCCTTCAGTTTTTTGGCCTCTCCCCATCCCCATCCCCCTCACATCTTGGTTGTGTGACCAGCCCATGTCTACCACTCAGGTGGGTTAGTTTAGATAAGGCTGCTCAGTGTGGGTTGTTGTTATCCTACCCATTAGGCAGGACGCTGGCAGAAGTTACCCTTTTGACAGGCAATGCAATGCAATGTGATGCCAATTTACTATTCAGCCCGATACCCTTCCAGGAGGGCAGGAATAGCAAATTTGCAGCACCCTGTTCACTGCATTCCTCAAATTTTAAAAATTAAGGGGTCTTTTTTTTTTGCAGGGGAAGTATTGCAGAGTAAAGACACTCGGAGGTGCAGTGGTTGTTGCTGATGCTTAAAGGGTTCTCTCGGTGTGCGGCATCTTGGGGCTGCTGGGCGGCCCCACTGCTGGACCTCCTGATGGCACTGGTATTTCTGGCCACTGTGTGACACAGAGTGTTGGACTGGATGGGCCTTTGGCCTGATCCAACATTGGCGTCTCTTATGTTCTTATTGCAGAGTAAAGACACTCAGAGGTGCAGTGGTTGTTGCTGATGCTTAAAGGGTTCTCTCGGCGTGCGGCATCTTGGGGCTGCTGGTCAAACAGGCCTGGCTGAGCTACCGTGACTGGTCAGAGGGATATGTTTCCTTCCCCCCCCCTTTTTGCCATCAAGTTACAGCTAACTTATGATGACCCCGTACGTTTTCAGGGGAAGAAATGTTCAGAGGTGGCTTGCCAGTGCCTGCCCCTACGTAGCAACCCGGGACTTCCCCGGTGGTCTCCCACCCAAGTATTAACTAGGGATGACCCTGCTTAGCTGACGAGATTGGGTTAGCCTAAGCCATCCAAGAAGATCAAATCAGTCAATCCTAAAAGAAATCAACCCTGACCAATGTTCCCTCTAAGCTGTGGAGTCCTGTGAGCAAAAATTCTACTTGGTGAGCGACGGACATTAAAGTTGCGAGCGAGCGATTTGGCTACTGCATAAATCAGTTTGCTCTGGAGCCCCATCCTTCCTGAGCGAAGACAAGAATGTGTGATCCTGAGACTAAAAAACGGTGAGCTAGCTCACACTAACTCAGCTTAGAGGGAACACTGACCCTGACTGTTCTCTGGAAGGCCAGATAATGAAACTGAAGCTCAAATACTTTGGCCACCCAATGAGAAGGGAGCACTCACTGGAGGAGACCCTGATGCTGGGAAAGATTGAAGGTCAAAGAAGACGGGGAGAAGACTCTTGAGAGTCTCAGGACTGCAAGAAGATCAAATCAGTCAATCCTAAAAGAAATCAACCCTGACTGTTCCCTGGAAGGCCAGATAATGAAACTGAAGCTCAAATACTTTGGCCACCCAATTAGAAGGGAGCACTCACTGGAGAAGAAGGCCCTGATGCTGGGAAAGATTGAAGGTCAAAGAAGACCGGGAGAAGACTCTTGAGAGTCCCTTGGACTGCAGTCAATCCTAAAAGAAATCAACCTTGACTGTTCTCTGGAAGGCCAGATAATGAAACTGAAGCTCAAATACTTTGGCCACCAAATGAGAAGGGAGCACTCACTGGAGAAGAAGGCCCTGATGCTGGGAAAGACTGAAGGGCAAAGAAGACGGGGACGGCAAAGGATGAGATAGTTAGACAGTGTCATAGATGCAACGGACATGAAGTTTAGCCAACTTCAGAGGACGGCGGAAGACCGGAAGGCCTGGCGTGATCTGGTCCATGGGGTCGCGAAGAGTCGGACTCGACTGTGCGACTGAACAACAACAACAAAGCCATCCAAGGTCGGAGAAGAGACCAAAAGAGGTGGTTTGCCAGTGCCTGCCCCTGCAAAACAACCCTGGACTTCCCTGGTGGGCTCCCATCCAAACATTACTCAGGGCTGACTCTGCTTAGCTTCCAAGATCTGACGAGCTCGGGCTATCCAGGTCAAGGCAAGTTTTCTTACACCACATGGAAATAAGTAAAGTTCTATGATGCCTGGAATCTGTTGGAACACGTGCAATGCTCCCTCTAAGCTGTGGGGTCTTGTGAGCAAAAATTCTACCTTGTGAGCTACTGGCATTAAAGTTGTGAGCGAGCGATTTGGCTGCTGCATAAATCAGTTTGCTTTGGAGCCATCCCTTCCTGAGCTAAGGCAAAAATCTGTGAGCCGGAGGCTAAACAACTGTGAGGTAGCTCACACCAGCTCAGCTTAGAGGGAACACTGAACACGTGTGTGGAGACACATAATAAAACTGAACGACGTTTAAGAAGAAATTAAAGAAAGCAAAGGGTTTGTATGTGGAGATTAAAAGGAGAAATTATGGAAATGTTGCAGAGGAGAATGAAAGAGATAAGTGTGATTAAAAAAAAAAAAAAAACACACCAAGCTAAAATTCGCTGCCCTGATAAGCAATATGCAGGAGGGGAAATACGAAGTTTAGAGGAATAGTTCAAAGAAAGGTTATTAATGTCCACATCCAATTAAAAGTAGCTGGAGAGCAGTGTTCCCTCTAAGCTGAGTTGGTGTCAGAACCCACAGCTCACAACGAAGTACACGCATTCAGGAACGGTTATACTTTTGTTGCAAAGCTATAGATGCAGTAACACAGGCACTGTTAAGAATGGCGGCAACCAATAGAGCCTAATAGGATACAGGGTATTCGTATGCACCCCCCCCCATGGCACCCCCCTTCCAGCACAGTAGCGGCGAAAAAGAACTGTGGTGGCGGCAGACGAAGGTGGCGATCCGGCAAAAAAAAAAAGAAAAGAACATGGCGGCGAAACCAGCATCAAGCTGCAGATGTTCCGGGCGGGGACTGGTCCAGAGACGTGTCGGCGCAGCGACGCAGCACGGCCGGAGCCAATCGGACAGAGGCCGGTGCAGCAGTCGTCGCACCGTTGCGGACTATGGAACTAACCCAGAAGGAGCCACTGTGGAGCCGCACCGAGATAGAACCCACCACGAAGCCGCAGGAAGAAGAAAGAACAAGCCGGCAGGGTGCCTGGTAGGCGCTCACCTCCCCCATATACATTGTGGCCCTAGCTAGGAAAGTATAATATGCCTATGTAAACCGCTCAGAGCCTCCGGGATTGAGTGGTATAGAAATTGAATAAATAAATAAATAAATAAATGGGCCAATTAGATACCCTCCTGCGCGCGGGACAAGCTGGGAACCAGGAGTCTCTCGCGGTACATAGGAGACTTCCAGACAATACAACCTCCTTCTGCACATCTGTAGAGATAAGCGTTTCAGCAAAGGGAGAACAGCAGGAAACGTGCAGCCTCTGCATGCGTGGAGAATGGATTAAAAGGAAAGTCTTCCACATGTTCAGGCCCTGTTGCCCTACTCTCAGGCAGGGCCAGTGGCTGTGACCACCAGCAATGAGATTCCCTTTGTCTTTTGCCGGCTTTTTTGTCCCTATGTTGCTCTGTCAGAAGCTGATAATGCCTAGGACTTAAACATGTTTGTGTGTGTGTGTGTGTTTTGGAATCAATATATTTTGAAACATAAGAACAGGAAGTGTTGCTTGCTGTTGCTTGCACAATGATACAAGATTTTGTGTTTTATTTATCATTATGGTGATAAGTTGAAAAGCTTTATTTTAAATGTATTTGTGATGGATAGGATTCTTAAGGCTCCAGCCCTGCGAACACTTTCCCGGGAGTCTGCCCCACTGAATAAAATGGGGCTTACTTCTGAGTATACCTGATTAGGAGTACTCCCCATGTCTTGTGTAAATGGATGAGCGCCTCTATTGGTAAATGCAGGGGCTCTCATTCCTTCTACTATGGTAGAACCCCCCCCCCCCCGATGCATTTCAGGGAGGACAGCAGGCCACAGTGAGAAACAGGAGATAAGGAAGGTCTGCTGTAACCCACTGAAATCTTCCTTA